TCGGTCATCGTCCAAGTTATCAAGGGCTGCTAAGGAACTGGGTCGGACTGCTAAAAGCCAGCGATCAGAAGCGGTTTCACTCCTTCTGACAGCTAAGTGCGCAGGATCACGACGACGGGTACGGAGAATGACGAAAGTGCCAGTCAGCAACAGGGACCCTACCCGCTCTGAACGAAGGACGCACACAGCGCAATGCCGTTATAGCACTTCAGGTAGGGCTCCACGGTAACGATACCCGCAGTGAGAGCTTGCAGTCTGAAATCGGAACATCGCCTCATTCAGCGCGAAACAGCAGGAGCTAGTTGATCAGGCTTCAAGGTACAGACTCGATATAGTTTGACTATCGTCAAAGAAGTGCCAGGGCTGTGGAATTGTGAACCTCTGCGGCCGGAAGCCACTCTATTCGAGCGTCGGTATTCGACACGCAATCAGGTCCGTGTTGCTGTTTTTGTAAAATCAACTGGCTGACAAAATCATCGCTGCATGGAAACCTGTCAACGAGAGATTGACAATTCTCTGACCGAAGTAGCAAAAGACGAAAGCTCTGACCTTGCAACTAGTCTATGTGCCAAATTTCCAAATTCAGAGGGAGAGAATGAGTCTTTACTGTATGAAATGGAGCGTGTTCCATGCGAAGTGCCAGCGACGGAATCCACTGTTTTAACGTGTTGTGATTTCAATGCATGTTTCAGAGCAGACATTGAAAAGGAGATCATTTGAATTCAAACGCGCTGTCTTAAGGATCTCAACAACGATACGAAGTGACAGCGCTTTTGAACAAACAGCGAACTGCCTAGTATGAACAGGCATCGAAATCGGCATCAGTATACATGGGTTAAGAAGGTTTTGTACACAAGTCGATGATCGAATTGATAATCACATCGTTTGTCTTACAACGCTCCGTAATGGATGTTCGCTTTAAGGCTGCACGAGCTGCAATGCTGTCAAATTATTATAACCGTGTTATTGGCACTGTCCGCTACACAGTGTAGAGTACCATGCGCCATGTGAACCTTGGTGGCGGACGCAACTAGAGGTCAAAAGCGAAACTTTTTTTCGACGGGTACGAAGATAAAACTTGCAAACAACATCGCGTGATGGTTTGAACAAATCCAAGTGATGACTGCTGATGTGGAAACCGAGCGGCGGCTCTTTAGGAGCGGTTTAATGGGAGCTGTCTCCGAATGTTTCAGCCTCAAATGGGTGGCCTGCCGTCTGGAAGTCAGAAAAGAACTTCCAGTTGGACAAGAGGAGTATAACTGGCAGATAAAGAGAAGAAAGCTGCATCCAAGGGATGGTTTGAAAGTAAACAGCCTTCAGCTCGAATGCGGTGCGAAAAATGCGCGCAGGGGCAGCTCAAGCAGTTGCCAAAGCGAAAGCTGGTTCCTGGGAAAGTTTGGTTAGGTGCAACAGTGAAATTTTCTGATGACTAACAACTAATTATGGCAGACAGTTCGCCGTCCCTTAGATGGAAAGAGGAACCGCCTCAGGATCTTGAAGAACAAGTCCAAATGCCTTCATATCAAGGAGAGGATATATTGTGCCGATGGCGAGGGTACTTTGAGGAACTCGTTAACCCAGAGCAACTGCAGAAAGACCCACTTTAAGATCAGCGATCAAAATATATTAGTAGTTTTTCAATACACGAAGCATCAAAAGTTGTAAAAAACTTCAAAAATAGAAAGGCGGTTGCAATTGATGAAATCCGCTCTCCAATGAGTAAAGTTTCAGACGTGCAAGTGGCAAGCACGTGTATCTAAAAATGTAATGATTAGGAAAAGGCAAAGATAAACTGGAGAACGGGGGTTATAGTACCCCTGTTCAAGAAGGAAGGCCATATGGAGGGCTAAAATTATCGCAAAATTACCTCATTGAGCCTCCCTTTTAAAGTTTAAGATGCTAGTAGAAATGTGCCGCAGAATAACTGACCTAAGATAAAAATGAGCAGTGCGGCTTCAGGTCTGGCAGTAGCACCTCCGGCCAGCATTCGCCTTTCGTTAGACTGTTGAGAAATCACAGACGTTTGCTCATAGGATTTACATGTGCTTTGTGGATTTAAAGAAATCCTATTATTGAATCCCACACGATAATCCATGGGCGTGCTTGCAAACATATGAGATCTATGGCTAGTTGTTACGAGTCATCTACTCATTATACTGTGATAAAATGTGCTGTTTAAAAGTAAATTGCGTAAATTCGAGACCTTTCAGTGTTGGCAATGGTCTCCTACAAGGCTTCTTTGTGCCCCCTCTTCTGTCAGTCGGGACGATGAGTGTGTCAGCGTAGGAGATGTCGAGACGATAAGGTTGCTGTTTGCAAACGACCGTGCTTGGTTAGCACCTTCTGAAACTGATCTACAGCACTTTCGGAAAGGCTCGCAGCCGAGTGCGATGTGGCCAGCATGCGTGTGAACGCATCTAAAACGAAAAGCCTACTGCTTTCTCGTTCTCCTGCCCGTTGCTCTCTTCA